AATCCTCTGTGTGCGAACCTTCCTTTTGCGAATGTCGTTATTAATCCCTTCGCGAACTTCCTTCTCGTGAACCTTGCCTTCGTGAACCTTCTCTTCACGTGTGAGAGATGTGGGATCTAGATGTGGAACGGCTGGCTCTTGGGGATGGATTCATAGGCGTTCTCGAAAGTTGAGGGTTCGCAGACGAAGTTCTCGTAGAGTTAGTAGCCTTCGCGAACCTTCCATCTTGTTCTATGATGACAGTGTCGTCCGATTGTGATGACCTTCTCGAACGTACACGTTCACCAACGTTGTCTGCAGATGTAGATCTGTGAGGCGTATTAGGTTCGCGTAGGTCTGAGGGTTTGCGAACGTTGTCAGTTGATGAGAGGTTCTGTCATGCCTTGGCTTCCTCATCAAAACGTCGTTCCATCATGGCCATCATTTGTGTAGTAAATTGCCTCATGAAGTCTCCTGGATCAAAGTTCTGTTTGACTGGAACTGATTCGGCGTTGATGAAGCGTTCACGAATGCTGATGTGTTGTGTGTGCTTCAACTTCACTGCGTTGAGAAGTTGGTGGTTGGTCGTCAAAGGGCTGGCCCGCTGTTGTAGTTGCAGGAGACGATCTAGTAGTCGTGGAGGTCGACTGAGTCGCTGATCTAGTAGGTACTTCAGGCAGAAGTAACGCTGGTTCGTCAAACACGTCTGCCTCGTGCGGTAGGATGATCTCCTCTTTAAACGACATCTGATGAGGTGACTTGCTAGGTCGTGTTAATTTCAATGTTGACCTAGTTATAGATGCCCTTTACTGCGTTGTGGATGAAGCAGTAGTCTTTTTCTTACTCTGAGAGGGCATCAACTCCATCGTAGCAGACCTCTTTTTCGACCCCGTAACAGACGACTGCCCCTGCAGCGTACTCATTATGTATTTCTGCAGTAGCAAACAACCTACGGTTACCGGCTTGATCTCCAGGTTTATCAGCCGTGACTTGTGATGACTTCCTCACCCGATCCGGCACGTCTATAGCTATAAGACAAATATTGATTAAATTGCAAATTTGATAAACCATGGCAATATATACAACGTGAGGTGGAAGAACATGGCTTAATGCACGATGGGCATTGGGGGTGAGGATCAGCCGCTAATAGCCGGTGCCTGCAACAAGTTACATTACGATGAAAATGTGTCACAAATAACAATAATTTCTTCAAATTTTATACAATTAATACATGATAGTTATAGCCGAATACCACACACAGCGTAATTTTGATAAATAGGATCTAAATATAAAAGATATCTGCCATATACGGGACTCCAGTGCTCGCCCAACCATCCGCTTGGGCGAAAAGGGAGAGAGTGACAAGTAAGGCTGGTCACATGACTGTTTGCGCGGAAAAAGGGAGGTAACTCGTTGGTGAGTGTATTTTCACGTCCGCTTCAGGGAACTACAAAGGATTCAAGTGTTCCACTACCATTCGCAAGGGAAAGGGAGATAAGCAAAGATGATGAGTCAGGATAAGGAAAAATATGTATATCAATTCGCAATGTCGCGTTACATTACGCCTTTATGAGAGAGCAGTGAGTGAGTATGGCTTAACGCCGTTTTTAGCAATATTCCAGCAATATCACGGCGGGGGAGACCAGAAATGGGCTTCACACATTGAACCCATGTGGGGAATCGAACCCAGGTCTTCGGAGTGACAAGCCAACGCTTTGTGAGAGAGCAGAATGCTCACAAGTGATAACCTTCTGTGTTCGTTTACTCTATTGATCAGATCATCATAAAAAGATAGATGATGCTGGGAAAGTCAGTGACTGAGGATGGTTTTAAGCCGTTTCACCAATATCCAATCAACATTCCAATTTCAAGGCAGGTGGCAGGACAAATGGGCTTCACACATTTTAGCCATGCTGTGACTCAAACCCGAGGCTTCGGTATGACGAGTAAGCGCTTTAACCACCAGGGTAGCCCTCCGGCCCCTGCTGGTTTGACAACCAAGAGAAAAAAAACAAGTGCAAGAGCAGAAGCGTACATAAAAGGAAAAAAGAAGTCATGGAATATTATGGACTCACTTGTGTAAATATAGCCACTTACTTCAGTCAACTGATCTAAACTAGATTTTGCAAAATATTCTAATCTGTTTACACATGAACTGATGTATTGTAAAACAAATTCGTAATGTTGAAAAGATTATTGTCATGAGTTCAATAAATGATGAAACTCAGTGAAAATTGGGGAATTCTTAACACCAAAACGCAGCTGTTCATATGCACGATATTTGCACATGCTTTTCAGCTTTTTCATGCATGATCCTCGTGCAATTCATCTGCATAAGGTTTGCAGTTGGTTCCCCCAAGTTAGGGGAGAAATTCATCTTCGACGTAACCATACATATATACACATAACATATAGCGAGTGCTTTAAGTGAGTCTAAACTTTTGATGGGTAGTATATATACGGTGGTATTAACACTGACAGTACACTTACATCTACACACCGGTTTAAACAATGCATCAGAATGTATTACAAATTTATGTACACAATCAGGCACGAAAATATTACAGCCTTTCGTCGTCGGTTTTATTTCTATCACAGGAATCAAACGGCAGATAGTATAACCCAGTTGCAAAAGACGCGGAGACATGATTGACAAAACACCTCGGCTTCGTCTGGAATCACGCCATTTTTCAGGATTCTTATCTGGCTTTATGCACCTTGTCAGACGAACGGAAACTGGCAATAACGTCGGCAGTTACTGACAGTAGTAACCAGCCTCGATGAGTTAAGGTGCAAATATGCAGAGAAAGATACATTTCAATTGGTGTAACTTTGTAGTTACAATAGTGAGCAGATGTATTCTGACTGTTTGTGTTCAATAATATTCCTTGGCTTCTTTGTTTCTTCTTACATTGTTACAACCGCCTTGAAATTTGAATATTGCTAAAACGGCATTAGCAATCTTCACTCACTCACTCATCCATCAGCACTATCTCGTTCACATACCTGGGCTGTGACCTGGATACTTTCATCTGTTTATGACAGACGAGAAGAAACTTCTTGCTCATCGCGGATAACTGAAGCCATCTATATCTTTGACAAGAGTACCTTATTTTTCATATGGATATGAAAAACATTGCTCCTGTGACATATACAGTGAGCCCTGTTTACTCAAATTCCAAGGAATGGTTTGGTTTGGTTATTCAAACCTGACCTGACATCAGAGGAGGCATGTACCTCGTTCAATGAGAATTTCATCAATATTTAGAGTCAGCATTACCAGAAACCTGTTCAGTGATGAACCCATGACATCTGATCTTCTCAAGACACGTGGGAATAAACAATTCCCCAAGGACTTTTGCAAGAAGTCCACCGAAGAATAATTTGTAATGTCAAGAAGTTTTGTGTAGAAGTCAGAAAAATTAATTAAACTGAGGCCAGTTTCAGGAGCCTGATAATAAGCAGAGGTGTAAGCTTACGGTGAAGCTGTGATACAATACTTATCCTCATAATAACATACAGGGACAGATACAGCTTTTTGAGAAGGGGGGGGCACACTCTTGAAAAAGTGGGAATGCACAATTCATTTTCACACACACACACCCCACCACCCCCTCTGGATCAGCCTATGATTTGTGTGCAATATGATTAATACCCAGAACAGTACTTTCATTTCACAAGTTGATATTCTCTCACTTCTTGTGAGATTCATTTTCTTGAATCATTTGTTTTTAAAATTCAGATAGTAAAGACAGGGTATTGTAGGAGAGAAACATATAGGCTTGGGACACTGTGCAGATTCCGCTATTTATAAGCAACAAGACAATACAAGAAAATCTGCACAAACTGGTTTTTGAACAATTTCCATTTATTATTCATATATGTTTATGTCAAAATGTGTGAGTATGTTTTTATGCTGCTTTTCAGCAATATCATGTCAGGGGACACCCCAATGTACCCATGTATGGTATAGAACGCGGGTCCTTGGCGTGACGAGCGAACGCTTTAACCACCCCAATATAAAGTGTAATGGAATGAATCATATTTACTGCAATATGCATGATACAGGAGTTGTAATTCAATTTATTGAATCGCGAACCTCGTATTAGGATGCAGTACTGTACTGTAGTGGTGGTCCGATTAATTGAAATAATCGAAGATTGGTCGCAATGACTAAATGACCAAGCAATAAATCATGTTTTCTCATAATGGAAAACAAACAATTTTGGAACACTTGTTTGCATTAACAATATTTTTCACAATGTTGGTTTTGTCTGTTACATTTCATTAGCACTACAAGCTCGTTCCAAGTCATAACTGAATTTATCTTAAAGACTCCAGGAAATTTATGCTCATAACATACTAGTCATCCTTTAGATATGTGAAATTTGAAAAGAGCCCGAAAGTGCTACATGTTTTTCTTCATTTTTTTGTGCATTAACAAACATAACCAGGAAAATTTGATAAATGAGGCTAACAAATTATTTTCGATGATTGATCAGTTGTAATGAACCAATCATCAGATTTTAACTAATTCCCAACACTACTGTACTGCCATACCGTTACTCCACTAATATTCAGTCATCACATGACGAGAATGTCATTCCAAATAAATAAGTTCCATGGATCTACAAATATATCTATTAAAATCTGAAACACCACTATGTGTGTCTGTTCTTGTTTAATTCAGGTTACAATTGTCAAAATATATACTGAGGGAAAAAAATAAGGGATCACATGAAAGCACAAGTGTTCCTTATTTTTTTCCAGGTTTATCACAAGCTTTGTATCGGATAGCTTGTGAAGAAACCTGGAAAATATTAAAGGAACACTTGTGCTTTCATGTGATCCCTTATTGTTTTTCCCTCAGTATATTTTGTAGAACACCCATGACTACACACATCATGAAATACAAGCCCATTACAACACACACACTCTAAATTGCCCCGTATAAAATCCACAATGTTGACCTAATTTCACCAATTCAGTTCTCTAATGAAACTGTTCCACAAGAGAGTCAGTGTAGTCTGCATGGACATCTGATATTTATTCACATGGTCATTTTTAATCATATCTCAAACACAAATAGTTCAAGAACATCTCACTCCTGAAAGTCTCTATTCAAAGTACATAGCACACAAAGAAAGGGTGTCATCCCTGAAGACTTGTTGTCTCTATTCAGTAGGTGATTCCCCTTCCACACTTCCTGTTCTGATGCTGGGTTATCAGATGTTCTATAAATATAATCACTCTTCCTGCACTGTTTCCACCTAAGACAACATTCATAGCACCAGCTCTCTGTCTGGAGGAAGAGGTGAGAAGTACCAGTCCACTTTCTCCTGACTCACTTCCTGGATGCTGGCAGGGTTCCACACCGGACTGTTGTCCTTGTCAACCAAAACTGAGCAAGGAAGAGAAAAAAAGAGGATCATGAGGAAAGGGACATTGGGACTGCATTAGAGCGAGTGATTTTGGTTTCACACTACTTTCAACGTACAGTCGAGCACCGTTGTCTCGATATTCATGAGACAAGAAAAATATCGAGTTATCCAAACTTCGAGACATCTGACCAGGGCATATCATCACATATCACTATGAAAGAAAACAAAACGCTTCTCAGTATGTTTTGATTCGAACTATAATCCGTTATCAGTAGTGTTTAGTCGTAACAGTGAGAACTTCCTAATTAATTCCTTCTTAATTAATCCTAGTTAAATAACAAACAAGTGACACCTTCAACTCAATTAGCCCTAATTAGTTTACACTACCGCATCCCTTTGATTCATGCCGCACCTCGTGCAAACGTTGAGGAAACAACCTCACTTCAGAGGGATACGTGCCCATGAAAGGTAGGTGAATATTGAGTTTCTTTGCAAATATCGAGTTAAAAGTGTAATTTTGCTTGTTGGGACGATGAAATTGTATCGAGATATCGGAAATATCGAGACATTCGTATCGAGTTAAAAGAGCTTGAATAATGATAAATTGTGAAGGATTTTGCCTGGACCGAGTCGTTATATTGAAACAACTGAGATATCGAGTTATCAGAGTTCGACACAACGGTGCTCGACTGTACTTCAGTCATATCTGGGTGTCGTCTTCATGTGAGAGTGAATGAATGAGTATGATTATACACCGCTTTAAGCAACGCTCCATCAATATCACGTCTGAGTATACCAGAAATGGGCGTCACACATGGTACCCATATGGGGAATCGAACCCAGTTCTTCAACATGACAAGAGAACACATTAACCACAAGGCCCGTAGAAGTCTGTGTTCTTTATACAAAAGGAGTTCTTAACAACATGTATGCAAGACAAGTAATGTGAACAACACTACCTGCTTAGATTCAATCGTAGAAGTCTGTACCATCAAGACAATACCAGTTCTTAACCATGTCTGCATGACATGTAAGACTATGAGCAACAGGTACTCTACCTGCTCGGACTCCCTCGTAGAAGTCCTTGTCCTCCAGACAGCGCTGTGACAACCTATATTCCATGTTCAGCACCTGCTGCAGCGTCATCGCCGCCCCTTCCCGCAGCTGACGTAAAGTTATCTTCATCGACGTTGGAGACTGAAAACAGGTAGAAGCATCATCCAGTTTAATCAGTAGCTGCGAACTACTTGCAGACTGGTTGGTGCTACGCCACACTCCGGCACAGCGATGACTAACATAACATCACTGCCACAGGCTAATTTGCAAGAGACTTTTCTCTTGTTTGTAAACATACGCGCATATTCATAATAAGAAGAGACTGGACTCACGAAAGCTTTTCGGTGCTCTCTTCATATTGTTTTACATTGTTACATATATATTCTTCCACAACTGCGACAGTAAGGTATGACAGTACATATTTAGATATCAAACTGGCTGTATCGTTTGCTCTTCATCAGAATCGCTATGCAAATCGAAATAGTGTTACATGTTTTGGGATATTTTCTCAGTGAAACTAAACCATTCTATTAAAGATGTTTAGTTAGATGTGTAGACTCGTCAAAAATAAAAGAGTAACAGAAATCTGTACATTATATTGAATGGACATTGCAAGATGTGACGAATCGTCACATTTTTCTGGCCTGTGGCAGAGGTACTATGCTGGCTTGCCGCATGGAACTCTGGGAAGGAGAGTGGGTGCTACGCCAGATTAATTCATTTCTTCATCTTCCTTATCCAACATGCTGAATGATGTGACTAATAGTTACAGTGGGGTTGTGAGATACTTTGGTCAAACTGTCTCAACGTCTGATCACCTTGACGGCTTGCCTCACACTTATTATTTTATGCTACACTGATCCCCACAATAAAAGTGAGAGAGTGAGTTTAGTTTTACGCCGCACTCAGCAATATTCCAGCTATATGGCGGCTGTCTGTAAATAATCAAGTCTGGACCAGACAATCCAGGGATCAACAGCATGAACATCGATCTACGCAATTGGGATACGAAGACATGTGTCAGCCCAGTCAGCGCGCCTGACCAACTGATCCCGTTTGTCGCCTCTTACAACAAGCATGCGTTACTGAAGATCAATTCTAAGCCGGACCTTCACGGGTACAATAAAAGTGAGCCCATATTCGTTGCCAGGACAGGTACCTAGCAGCCTTGGACTGTTGGGATATCTGGTCAAAATAGGTACCTAGCAGCCTTGGACTGTTGGGATATCTGGTCAGAATAGGTACCTAGCAGCCTTGGACTGTTGGGATATCTGGTCAGAATACGTACCTAGCAACCTTGGACTGTTGGGATATCTGGTCAGAATAGGTACCTAGCAACCTTGGACTGTTGGGATATCTGGTCAGAATACGTACCTAGCAACCTTGGACTGTTGGGATATCTGGTCAGAATAGGTACCTAGCAACCTTGGACTGTTGGGATATCTGGTCAGAATACGTACCTAGCAACCTTGGACTGTTGGGATATCTGGTCAGAATACGTACGTCTAGCAACCTTGGACTGTTGGGATATCTGGTCAGAATAGGTACCTAGCAGCCTTGGACTGTTGGGATATCTGGTCAGAATAGGTACCTAGCAGCCTTGGACTGTTAGGATATCTGGTCAGAATACGTACCTAGCAACCTTGGACTGTTGGGATATCTGGTCAGAATACGTACCTAGCAACCTTGGACTGTTGGGATATCTGGTCAGAATACTTACCTAGCAACCTTGGACTGTTGGGATATCTGGTCAGAACAGGTACCTAGCAGCCTTGGACTGTTGGGATATCTCGTCAGAATAGGCACTTAGAAAGCTTGGACTGTTGGGATATCTGGTCAGAACAGGTACCTAGCAGCCGTGGACTGTTGGGATATCTGGTCAGAACAGGTACCTAGAAGCCTTGGACTGATGGGATATCTGATCAGAACAGGTACCTAGCAACCTTGGACTGTTGATAGATCTGGTCAGAACAGGAAGCCAGCCTCAAGGGGCAGATGCTAGAGGCAATATACTAGATAGAGTGGTTTGGCTTAGATTTGGTTGATAAGTCTATCATCATAAGGTGATAGTGTGGATTATCACTCACAATACCAGTCACTGGATTGTCTGCTCTAGACATGACTATTGACATGCTGTCCTTGTACAGCTTGAAGTCTTCTCTAGTGCTGAACAACTAACACAGACATCATCATACCATCTTCTTGAGAAGACTGAGCTGCTTCACAGCCCATTCAGATCCATCCTTCTCAAGGTTAAGGAACATGTTTTCTAAGGTGTTGGCTCCAAACAGTGTGTCGATGCTGTTCAGGTGGGGCTTCAATACAAAGGACCTCTGTGGATCAGAGCTCTGCAAGGAGACAAATGTGACAATTTGATGATGTACGCAAAATATCGGAACTTCTGACATAAAGCATGATCAAAAAGATGCATCACACAAACAATTAATTCAGCATTGCAGGAATCGAACCTGACATGTCAGTTAAAACTTGAGTCACTTGACTATGCAACTATAACTTGCCAGTATTTGTATAAGAGTGAGTGAGTGAGTTTAGTTTTACGCAGCTTTTAGCACTATTCCAGCAATATCACGGCGGGGACACCAAAAATGGGCTTCACACATTGTACCCGTGTGGGGAATCGAACCCGGGTCTTCGGCGTGACGAGCAAACGCTTTAACCACTAGGCTACCCCACCGTCCTATTTGTATTAGAGTATGCATCAACCAATCTCAGGAAGTCATATTAGTACCAACCTGTTTATGAAACTGGTCAAGAACCTGTGCAATGTCTGATTTCTGGGGTTTCTGCAGTTCCATCAGGGCATTTTCTAAATCAGGGAGCTGAACACAAAAGTACACATTATATTGACAGAGTCAAAGTCATGGTCACAATACATATCTATAGCTCAACTCATATGTCCTCACTAAATACACTGCAACTGATTCCATGGTATTTGATTGGTTAACAGAGCAATTAATTTTCATTCATGTTTCCATTTGAGCATTCTCTTTAGGACATGTATATCGTGAGTGAGTGAGTTTAGTTTTACGCCCCACTCAGCAATATTCCAGCTATGTTGCGGCAGTCTGTAAATAATCGAGTCTGGACCAGACAATCCAGTGATCAACAGCATGAACATCGATCTGCGCAATTGGGAAATGAAGACATGTGTCAAGCAAGACAGCGAGCCTGACCACCCGATCCCGAACACGTCTATCAATGAACTACTATATTGTGATTGGCTTATCATAAACCAGGACAAAAGTGGAAAACGTCACTTATTTTTGTCCACAGATCGTATTGAATCTATGATTTAAATAAGCAGTCTGTGAAGTTGTTATTGTGATGTAGAGTCCGATGTGTACAACTTCCACTGTTGTTTTGGTGTCTCTCACGTTTACTTAAGTCTTAATTAAGTGAGTGAGAGAGTGAGTGAGTTTAGTTTTACCTTGCTATTAGCAATATTCCAGCAATATCATGGCGGGGGACACTAAAATGGACTTCATACATTGTACCCATGTGGGGAATCAGACCCGGGTCTTCGGCGTGACGAGCAAACGGTTTAAGCTCTTGACTACCCTACTGCCCCCTCTTGATTAAGTACCAGAATCCATCATTCCTATGATACTGCATTACATGTGTTCGGTTTGAAGATCAAAGGCTTTTCACATATCTTACCAATCCCAAAATGAAACAGATACTAGATCTAACAATGCAGCTCAAGTGTCTTGTTGGTGTTGCTATTGGATTTTCTGTGAGCAACTTACCAGATCTGTGTACAACACATGTTTCACTACGGAAGCTTAGTGCAGACTGGTTACAATCACAGCCGGATACAATGTATCACACACATCATTGATTCACAACACTCACTCCGACTGGGATTTAAATTTCATTAGTGTATTTGACACTTCTTGGGATTATCGCATATTTCTTCAAAATGTCTTAATGGAATTTCAAAAGCAAAGGGTTACCCCACACTGTACCTGAGACAGCTGTACACCATGTAGCGTAGTTTCAAGGACTCACTGTATTCATGTTACCTGACTTGAGTATCGGGCTAAATGCCTTCAAACTGGTATACACACTTTGAGTGCTTCCCAAAATATACATGGCAATGCTTATACATGTACCTCCATAAACAATTACTGAAATCAATTCTTACATAAACATCATCTTGAGTATATGACTTCAACAAAAGAGAGTAAGAGAGTTTGTCAGCCCAGAATACCTGCTGTGAGTTGACGAAGTGTGTGGCTATTCCAGCAGCCTCGACATCCTGGCCCTTTAGCCGGAAACCTGTCAGTGCCAGAAATGTACCAATCTCTCCTCGGAGACGCGGCAGGAAGTGGCCTCCACCCACGTCAGGGAATAATCCTGGAGGCAGAAGAAAGAAGTCAGATGACATCACAGAACATCACAGAACTTCACAGACAGTAAGAGCAAGATAGTGAGCGAAATGTCTGTCATCGCTTCAGTCTTGATATTGCATTAACTTCGTCTGAAAAGATTTGGTGAAACCGCATTCACGGTTTTGGTGTTGACAAGTCAAACATCACAATCAGATTAGATCGGGGGTCCGAACCACAGTTGGCTTTAAGACTGCAAGGCGGAGGAACACTAACTATGGTATGTCCAAATTTACACTAGAAACTGATTTTTTACATGTATGAATGGGTTCCATGGATATCAATGGGTTTCTTTAGAACATGGTTTAATGTGAGGTTCGTATTCTGCAGCTAATCTCACCTATAGCAGTCTCTGGCATGGCAAACAATGTCCTCTCAGTGGCCACTCGGAACATCCCATGGACAGACAGACCAACGCCCTGCAACAGGGCACACAAGTCATGACACCAACAGCAGGGTTTCCAACTCATTTTATCAATCTTAACTGAAATAATTTACATAAGTAACACTTATACCGTGATTTACATCATGTTGGAATTAAAAAAACTCACTCCCTCTAGCTCCCTCCCTCCCACCTGCCGCCTGCCCACGTGCATGGACGCAGAGTATATGGGCAGGCAGCATACCAACACATACCATTCTCTGAAGATATGCTCTGTACACTAAGCCACAGATATCACTATTAAATCACATGATAAAAACCATAAAATGATTGAACAACCTTACCCCAAAGTCCGCAAATTCCAATCCATCTAAGTAAGTGCACCCTGTTGATCCTAGGTCAAACAAACTAATGGTTGACGGAAAGAGCAACTATCTATCGTATTAGAAAAAGCTAAATCAGACGTGTTATCATACCCCAACTGCGTAGATTAATGCTCATGATGTGAATCACTGTATTGTCTGGTCCAGACTATTATTTACAGACCGTCATCCTATAATACTGGAATATTGCTGAATGCGACTTTACTAACAAACAAACAAGCGAACAAACACTAAATCAGACCCACTACTCAGACTATACAAGCATGTGCTGTTGGGATATTTGGCCCTGGTTTCAGCTCAAGAGGAAGATTCAATTGTACACTTGCTATATCACAATTGTACAGCTCACACATGGAACTACATAGCTAATGAAGGGTACTCACCCCTCCCATAGTGATACCATCAATCATTGCGATGTATGGCAGCTTGTAGTTACCTGAAAAGACATAATGTCAGCATCTCAGTATGTTCACTGAGATGTCTCATGGCATCTAGCACAGGCCTGAGACGGCCCACTGCACCTGACTTAGACCTGAGACATCTCATTGCACCTGACACAGACATGAGACGTCTCACTGCACCTGACACAGACCTGAGACATTTCACTGCACCTGGTACAAGACTGAGATGTCTCACTGTACCTGACACAGACATGAGACGTCTCACTGCACCTGACACAGACATGAGACATATCACTGTACCGGACATACCATGGAGACGTCTCACTGCACCTGACACAGACATGAGACGTCTCACTGCACCTTGCACACATCGTAGCTGCCACATTGACACAAAAACAGATACTGAACAAGACATACATAGTCTTGTCCTGATGCCCTATTCTAGATATACTAGAGCCTGCTGCTTAATGTTAGCAGACAAGCCCCCAGTGATACAGGTCTCAGTCTACACCCACTATGATGAGCTCTGGACACCAAGAATCAGTAATCAATATGATGTGCAGATTTCAAAGTAATCATAAAAGTAGTTTCTTACGGATCTACCAAACAGACAATAACAAAAAGCAAATATTCCATACCCAGATTAAATTATCTGTAACTAAACCAAGGCACATACTGATTGCAAACAACACTTGCCAATTTTATTGTTCAATATGTATTCTTCAAAGAAGAACTCCCTCGAGAGAAGATCGCCACTCCTCCCTGCTTCAGTGACAGCTGAAATCAGAAACACATGTACATGAGACGTGGTCAGCACCTGGTCAGGAAATCACTTGCTAACCTGCCAGGGATGAATTGTTAACCAAAAACGATTACTAGTCTGATTAATGGTGACCAATATATAGCTGACACAATTCACATTAGACAACTTTGATTCAGATCTAAACAAGAGTTATCAGAAGATGACATATTCCCCCGGCCCCACATATGTGAAAGAACAAATCATCTGACAGTTACATCCGGGAAAATTAAAAATGCCAAAAATCTGCAATTAGCAAAAGGCAACACTTCAAGATCTGCCTCATATATCAGTCAAGTTTTGCTGAAAGATATTGAACGGTTTTCAAGTTGTGCTCCGGAAACGAAGCCCACCCTTCCCTTTTGAGACTAAGTCTGAATTGTTTCCATGGAAACCGAGAAATGATAAATGCCAAACATCTGTAAATAGCAAAAGGCACCTTTTTAGGTTCTGCTTTTGCTCCGGAAATGAAGCCCACCCCTCCCTTTAAGACTAAGTCCAAAACGTTTCCATGGAAACCGAGAAAAATAAAAATGACAAAAATCTGTAAATAGCAAAAGGCACCACCTTAGGTTCTGTTTGATATATCTTCCACTTTCTGTTGAAATATTAAACGGTTTTTAAGTTATGCTCCGGAATCAAAATGTTTACGGACAGACGGACAGACGGAAGAGGCATTGACTACATCCCCCAACCCCCATTACATGCAGGGGGGGAGGAGGAGAGGGAGAGAGAGAGAGAGTAAAATTGCTTATGCATAGCATCCCCTGACTGTATGTAGGCATCCCTCACTATTTTCATTCCTCACACACTAGACCTCCACAAACCAACTCACCTACCCAGCGCACCATCCCTGAACAGAAGGTTGTCTCCTGTTCCTTTCATGATCTCCATAAAGAGAGCAAGATATGATCCCCAGATGAATGTAGACACCCCTCACTGTATCCCCCTGCACCCAGCTAGTATGTCATCCTGTTTGTATGTAGACATTCCATCTCCCCTACTCCTCACGTCACCCCCTGAACGTATATAGAACCCCTTACTCTCCCCATGCACACCTTGATCCTCCACACTCCATCGCACCTACTCCTCATGTCACCCCCTGCATGTATGTAGGAACCCCTTACTCTCCCAACACGCTGATCCTCCACAATCCATCTCACCTACCCCTCACGTCACCCCCTGCATGTAAGTAGGAACCCCTTACTCTCACCATACACACCTTGATCCTCCACACTCCATCTCCCCTACTCCTCACGTTATCCCCTGCATGTATGTATAAACCCCTTACTCTCCCAACACTCAACTTGATCCTTCACACTCCATCTCCCCTACTCCTCATGTCACCCTCTGCATGTATGTAGGAACCCCTTACTCTCCCTACCCACACCTTGATCCTCCACCTCACCTACCCCTCATGTCACCCCCTGCATGTATGTAGGAACCCCTTACTCTCCACACGAACAACTCGATCCTCCACGCTCCATTTCACCTACCCCTCACGTCACCACCTGCATGTATGTAGGAACCCCTTACGCTCCCCAAGCACACCTTGATCCTCCACGCTCCATCTCCCCTACTCCTCAGGACACCCCCTGCATGTATGTAGGAACCCCTTATTCTCCCCACGCACACCTTGATCCGCCACCTCACCTACCCCTCATGTCACCCTCTGCATGTATGTAGGAACCCCTAACTCTCCCCACGCACAACTCGATCCTCCACGCTCCATCTCACCTACCCCTCACGTCACCCCCTGCATGTATGTAGGAGCCCCTTACCCTCCCCAAGCACACCTCGATCCTCCACGCTCCATCTCCCCTACTCCTCACGTCACCCCCTGCATGTATGTAGGAACCCTTACTCTCCCCACGCACACCTTGATCCTCCACACTCCATCTCCCCTACTTCCCTCACGTCACCCCCTGCATGTATGTAGGAACCCCTTACTCTCCCCACGCACACCTTGATCCTCCACACTCCATCTCTTACTCCTCATGTCAACCTCTGCATGTATGTAGGAGCCCCTTACTCTCCCCACGCACACCTTAATCCTCCACACTCCATCTCCCCTACTCCTCACGTCACCCTCTGCATGTATGTAGGAACCACTTACTCTCCCCACGCACACCTTGATCCTCCACACTCCATCTCCCCTACTCCTCAGGACACCCCCTGCATGTATGTATAAACCCCTTACTTTCCCAACGCACACCTTGATCCTCCACACTCCATCTCCCCTACTCCTCAGGACACCCCCTGCATGTATGTAGGAACCCCTTACATTCTCCCCACGCACACCTTGATCCTCCACACTCCATCTCCCCCTACTCCTCACGCCACCCCTCTGCATGTATGTAGGAACCCCCTTACTCTCCCCACGTACACCTTGATCCTCCACGCTCCATCTCCCTACTCCTCATCTCACCCCCTGCATGTATGTAGGACCCCTTTACTCTCCCCACACACACCTTGATCCTCCACACTCCATCTCCCCTACTCCTCATGTCACCCCCTGCATGTATGTAGGAACCCCTTACTCTCCCCACGCACACCTTGATCCTCCACACTCCATCTCCCCTACTCCTCAGGACACCCCCAGCATGTATGTATAAAGCCCTTACTCTCCCCACGCACACCTTGATCCTCCACAATCCATCTTCCCAACTCCTCAGGACACCCCCTGCATGTATGTAGGAACCCCTCATTCTCCCCACGAACACCTTGATCCTCCACACTCCATCTCCCCTAACCCTCACGTCACTCTCTGCATGTATGTAGGAACCCCTTACGCACCCCACGCACACCTTTATCCTCCACACTCCATCGCACCTACCCCTCACGTCACCCTTTGCATGTAATGTAGGGAACCCCTTTACTCTCCCCCCACGCACACCTTTGATCCTCCACAATCCATCTCCCCTAACTCCTCAGGATACCTTTGCATGTAATGTAGGGAACCCCTTACTCTCCCCACGCACACCTTTGATCCTCCACACTCCATCTCCCCTACTCCTCACGCCACCCTCTGCATGTATGTAGGAACCCCTTACTCTCCCCTTAACGCACACCTTTGATCCTCCACGCCTCCATCTCCCTACTCCTCATTCACTCCCCTGCATGTATGTAGGACCCCTTTACTCTCCCCACACACACCTTTGATCCTCCACACTCCATCTCCCCCTACTCCTCATGTCACCCCTGCATGTATGTAGGAACCCCTTACTCTCCCCACGCACACCTTGATCCTCCACACTCCATCTCCCCTACTCCTCAGGACACCCCCAGCATGTATGTATAAAGCCCTTACTCTCCCCACACCTTTGATCCTCCACAATCCATCTTCCCAACTCCTCAGGACACCCCTGCATGTATGTAGGAACCCCTCATTCTCCCTATTTAACACCTTTGATCCTCCACACTCCATCTCCCCTAACCTCACTGCCACACTCTCTGCATGTATGTAGGAACCCCTTTACGCACTTCTACTCCACACCTTTTATCCTCCACACTCCATCGCAGACCTACCTCTCACTGCCACTTTTGCATGTAATGTAGGAACCCCTTTACTCTCCCCACACACCTTGATCCTCCACAATCCATCTCCCCAACTCCTCAGGACACCCCCTGCATGTATGTAGGAACCCCATACTCTCCCCACGAACACCTTGATCCTCCACACTCCATCTGCCCTACTCCTCACGTCACCCTCTGCATGTATGTAGGAACCCCTTACTCTCCCCACGCACACCTTGATCCTCCACACTCCATCTCCCCAACTCCTCAGGACACCCCCAACATGTATGTATAAACCCCTTACTCTCCCCACGCACACCTTGATCCTCCACACTTCATCTCACCTACTCCTCACGTAACTCCCTGCATGTATGTAGGAACCCTTTACTCTCCCCACGCACACCTTGACTCTCCACACTCCATCTCCCCTACTCCTCAGGAAACCCCCAGCATGTATGTATAAACCCCTTACTCTCCTCTACGCACACCTTAATCCTCCACACACCTTGATCCTCCACACTCCATCTCCCGAAATCCTCAGGTCACCCCCAACATGTATGTATAAACCCCTTACTCTCCCCACGCACACCTTGATCCTCCACACTTCATCTCCCCAACTCCTCAGGACACCCCCAACATGTATGTATAAACCCCTTACTCTCCCCACGCACACCTTGATCCTCCACACTTCATCTCACCTACTCCTCACGTAACTCCCTGCATGTATGTAGGAACCCTTTACTCTCCCCACGCACACCTTGACTCTCCACACTCCATCTCCCCTACTCCTCAGGAAACCCCCAGCATGTATGTATAAACCCCTTACTCTCCCCACGCACACCTTAATCCTCCACACACCTTGATCCTCCACACTCCATCTCCCGAAATCCTCAGGTCACCCCCAACATGTATGTATAAACCCCTTACTCTCCCCACGCACACCTTGATCCTCCACACTTCATCTCACCTACTCCTCACGTAACTCCCTGCATGTATGTAGGAACCCTTTACTCTCCCCACGCACACCTTGACCCTCCACACTCCATCTCCCCTACTCCTCAGGAAACCCCCAGCATGTATGTATAAACCCCTTACTCTCCCCACGCACACCTTAATCCTCCACACACCTTGATCCTCCACACTCCATCTCCCCTACTCCTCACGTAACTTCCTGCATGTATGTAGGAACCCTTTACTCTCCCCACGCACACCTTGATCCTCCACACTCCATCTCCCCTACTCCTCAGGAAACCCCCAGCATGTATGTATAAACCCCTTACTTTCCCCACGCACACCTTGATCCTCCACACACCTTGATCCTCCACATTCCATCTCCCCTACTCCTCATGTCACCCTCTGCATGTATGTAGGAACCCTTCACTCTCCCCACACACACCTTGATCCTCCACACTCCATCTCCCCTACTCCTCACATCACCCTCTGCATGTATGTAGGAACCCTTTACTCTCCCCACGCACACCTTGATCCTCCACACTCCATCTCCCCTACTCCTCACGTCACCCCCTGCATGTATGTAGGAACCCCTTACTCTCTCCATGCACACCTTGATCCTCAACACTAAATCTCACCTACCCCTCACGTCACCCCCTGCACAGAAGGCTTTGTCTCCTGTTCCTTTCATGATCACCATAGAAACAGCAGGATCTGATTCCCAGCTCTAAATGGAAGACAGTTAAGAAATCAGAGACAGCAGCACAAGGACATCGTCTTAATATTCAAAATCCAGCCTTCCACTAATTGCATCATATAAATTCTTCATTTTGACCTTCGCTCCTAGAGATGAAACATATACCATGAAGACATGTCTTCTCAAGTTCCCAGGAACGGTTAAATTCAGGATAAATGTTAAATTCAAACATTTCATTTATAACATTGTATTATTGGCAAAGATATATATTTTGTAAAAATGTTCTAAATGTAATATATTGTACATGTGAACTAGAAAGTACCACAACGAGCTGATTCCAGAATCATCAGAGAGTATTGTAGAACTTTCTGGTATCATATGCTTGTATATATAAAGGGAGCTAACTCTTGCCCCAAATCTCACATTACATCTCCATTTTCAATGATGTGTTTAGTTTCAGTTTAGCAATATTGCACCAATATCACGGCGGGGGTGGGGGGTGGGGGGACCAGAATGGGCTTCACACATTGTACTCATGCGGGGAATCGAACACAGGTCTTCGGCGTGACGAGTCAATGCTTTAACCACTAGGCTACCCCACCACTCACTCAAGGTTCATGAATACAGCATTGTGTGTAATGATCATAATACACTCGATTCTCTGCTCAGTTGGATTACTGTTGCGAAGAGGTGAATATTACCATAACTGTCATCCCTTTTTTGCAATAATCACTGCTCATGTAATATATTACCTCTAAATTTGTACTAACATTCTATTTTATACTGCCATAATGATACCCTTGAAATGATTTGTATTGATTTGTGAACTTTCTCAATATTTACATACAATCATTCATTATATCACATTTATTGGTTGGTTGTTTGGTTTCACTACCAGCTCTATTATGGACTGATTTCAGTGTTATTTTTTTAGTTTCAACTAGGGAATCAACACATAAATGTATAAGAGGACCCATAAATTACAAGAAGTTTTAATGCATAACTTTATATTCTTCCACTGAATAAAATAACAACATTAGGAAGCTTATAGGGGTAAACGGTAAGCTCTTTCCACGGTATGGTACGTATTGCGGTACAAGACCTTCAGTTCGGTCCATTTCGGTTCGGTATATGAGATATGATCATAATACAGAAAAGAAAAGAAAAGCATAGATTTTGACAAATTGATTCAGTTTCTAGACATTTTGAAAAAGGTTTAACAGATTTAAAAAGATTAATAAAATGATGGTACAAAACTGAAAATACTGATTGTTTGGATTGCATTACGGTAGACCGAACCTAAGCAAAATACTGCGGTTCTAATAATAATGCGGTATACCGTTTCACCCCTAGAAGCTTAAGCCATGAAAACTGTGACGTTTTTCTAAACTTTGTTCACCAGCATACACTGCATTCCATGGCTACTGACAGACACTCACCTTCATCTGGGAGTAGATCTTCCTCACCATAGACAAGTTCAGTGAGTTGAGGGCCTTTGGCCGATTTAAAACAACCACCCGCTTATCTCCAACACTCTCAAATAGCACCTCATCTGTAGCGCTTGAAAACATTTTCTGTAAGAAAATAGCAAATGTATTTACTTGCTCTTTATATTGCTTCAAATTCCTTTCCTTTTGAGTAACACGTTTCTTCAATATATTGAAGAATGAATAGGCCTGTACATATATATAACTGGCAGTTCAGTCAAATGTTACAAAAATACCATTGTACACTTTCAGTTACTAAAACTACTTTACTGAAAGAAATTAAGTATGAAATATTGATCATTATTAGGATTATAAGAATCACATCATATCATAACCACAGCATTTCTCTTTTGTGTTTCTGTCTCATAAATTCCATTTATCATCAACAAAGATTTGTTCTAATTTGTATTTCTATTTGACAGAATAACAACATTGCATATGGGATGACACTTTCTGAGTAAAATACAGATTCTACTTTTGTTGTGTTGACACTCGGACCCACACTCCCAGTGAGTGTGTGAGTGAGAGAGTATGGTTTTACGCAGCTATCAGGAATATTCCAGCAATACCACTGCTGGGGAAACCAGAAATGGGCTTCACCATTGTACATTGTACCAATGTGGGGAATCAAACTCAGGTCTTCAGCGTGACGAGCGGACGCTTTAACCATTAGACTACCCCACTGCCCACCCCCACACTCTAAGAGTCTTGCACCTAATCGCCAGCACATAAAGTGAACCATCTAACCCCCTCAGCCACTGCACCTTCGACAATACCAACCATACAGAAACACACTCACCTACATAATCTCTCATATTTTTGGATGAGATTGCAGGCAAAGAGTTGGCTGTAAGTGGTACCAAATACAAAATGGCTGTCAGTAGTACCAAATACAAAAAGAAGGAAAATATCTGAGATATCTTTCTTCTGAACTAAAAGTATTAATCAAATACTTACCACGTGATTTAAAATCACACGCAGTCGCCGTACAGATCTGAAAAAGTAAAAGACATGATCATGATTTTCAGGATTAACACAGAGAGAAATATCACAATATTGAATTTCACTTACAACATGTACAATCAGGATTGTAGTGTGTTGCTGTGTGAGTGTGTGTGTTTCTTCATGCATTTATGTGTGTGCATGCACACATGTGTACGAGCATGTTGAAACCAGGCGAATAATGTTCGACAGTGACTTGAAAATATTATACCCTGGTATATACAATCAAGTGATTGATAAAATGAGCAATAATTCATAGATTATGCTGACACTCTTTCAGCCAAGTCTCCTGCTATGACCCTCACTAGGGGATCAAATACAACCTGGAATCCCTTTCATGCATTACCTGTGACAGTGTTTTTCTATTAAGGACATATCAATATTGTGGGATATACATATATCAATAGCATTTGCTTTACTGTTTGAATGTCAAGATGAAAAAAGATATGTAAGTTTACACTAAAGCCAGGGGTGGAAATAACCCATTGCCCGACGCCCAAGTCCAGTGTTTTTTTCTGTTGGGCAAGCAAATTTGTATATCACACTGTACCGGTGTCCAGTTGACTTTCCAATATTAATTATGTTGTTTATTTAAAAAATCAACAAGAAAACGGCCGGTATAGTGGAAAAATTATCAGGTCAAGTGATTTTACATGTGCCACTGTACCGGAGTACACTAGCAATTTTAAAGTAATTTCCACCCCTGAAAGCACCTACCCTCTGAACATGACTGGTGTTTCTGAAACAGATGAAAATCAAAGAATAAACGACCGTTCATAATTTATGGCTGGGGGGTGATGATGATTTTAAGGGGTGGTCACCCATTTTGTTCTGGGGAGCTAGGGGGATCAGCAATTTTGTACACATGTACTAGGGTGGGTCAGCAATTTTGTACATAAAACTATGTTTAAAATTATGCTTAGGAATTATGGGAAGGGGAGGGGGGGTCATTGATTTTGTACATGACATGCAGTGGGGGTCATTTATTTTGTACATAAATTTTACGGGGGGTCTTTCACATTGTACATGCTTCTCCATAAAAATCAACATCATCATCCCCCCCATCATAAACTATGAATGGTCCCCAATCACCCTTTCACCAAGACTGTTGGGGTGTAATGATACAGCTATACAGTTATTGTCTCTCGATATGAGGCTCATTTTGTTTCATCGCTCTACAACCCAAATATTTAAACACAGTTTAAGTCATAGAATTGAAGCAAATACATGTTAATAATTATGGAAACTGTTCAACATGTTCAATAGCCCACTCACAGATTTCCGGTTTTCCCTTTAGGGAAACGGTTTCTTCATGTCTTCCTTACACTATCCAATCTTTGATTTTTAAGAGCAAATGATTCGGGGTTGCTTCAGTCCTAAACGAATGCTGAGTAATATAGTTTACTATTTTTATGATGATACCTGCTATTAGTTAAGCCAGTTTAACGTCGTGTTCCTACCAATGTAAAGGTAAAGTGTATACCTTGGTAGGAACACGACGTTTAGCTGGCTGAACTAACCTGCTATATGATTAGCCTATTTGTGCCCTTCAACCAGAGACCATATAATCTATTATATGGTCTCTGCTTCAACATAGTAATGGCAGTTTGATCCTAAGGATAAAACAAATCGAATTCGCAAACGGAACACCCGGTAAATTTCAGTATTCGTGAAAAATTGACGTTTACCTTGTGCGTTCGTCTGCGACGAAAACAGGTGACGTACTTAAAATCTAAGCCTGACAATACTCTTTATATTGAATGCTCCATTGTTCGTAACCAGGGTTACTCTAACTATTCAGTTTGTCTTTAATTGAAACATTACACTCAGCTTTTAAAGATGATGATTCACTGATGCCAGTTGGAATATTTTGCTAGTCATCTGCGAATTACTTGCACAGCTTGATGGCGATGCAGACAGCTTGTGTGATTGGTAGATATTTCTTAAAGTTATTGTCTACAGTAAATGACAACATCATATTTCCTAACCGAGAAAGTAATGTAACCATTATAAGAACATATTTAGTATCAAAGATGTTGTATTTAAACGGTAGCGTGCAAATAACCCATATTTCTCACCTCAACGTCCCTCGCCGGCAAAGAGAACTCTTCTCTGTTGGAGGAGAGTTTAACTGCAGAAACTCGGTTATCCATACCGTTCAAACCTGGTTATCAAAACATTCTCATATCAACTGCATGTATTGATGTACAGTACAACCAGAAATTATTGAGAATTTAAGATTGTAATTTTTTTTATTTTGTTCACTCATTACTCACGTATTAAATGTGAATATTAGCAGAACATTACTCCAGATTCAAAGACAGGTGAACAGTTAGTATTTTGTCAAGTCACCATGGGCAGCAATGCAGGCTTCAATGCGGCGGGGCATACTACTGATCAAAGAAGTTAGAAAGTCGTGGTCCATACTGTCCCAATATCGGACCACCTCTTCTTTCATTTCAGCAATATTTGTCAGATTTGTCTTATTGACACTTTCCTTCATAAGTCCCCAAACATTTTCTATTGGATTTAGGTCAGGGCTATAGCTTGGCCAATCTAATAATGTCATATTTTGGGTCCGAAACCAGGCCTGTGAATGCTTTGAACGATGTTTTGGGTCGTTGTCCTGCTGGAAAATAAAAAAAATTCATAGAACACGTGGGCAGATGGAAGTAAATGTCCCTCGAGAATATATGCGTACCGCTCACTGTTCATATTCCCTTCAAATACACAGAGGGGCTTGCCCCTAACACAGATATGCCACCCCACACGTTAAATTTCGGACTGTACTTTGGGCGCTGATACAATGGTTTTCTCAGTTTGTTTGGTCAAGAATTTCAGTGTATTAGGAAACAGCCACACAGAACTTTCATCTGAGAAAATCACATTGTCCCAGTTAAAATTTCTATGCTGTAAGCCCCAGTTCAACCTTCGCTCCTTTTGTTCAGGTTTCATGATCGGTGATTAAATTCCTCGACTTTTCTGCCAACCCATTGCATGCAGCTCAGTTCTAATTGTCTCCTTACAGACAGACACATTTCCTCTATCAATCATATCCAGCCTTAAGTTTTCTAAACTCCTTCGTTTGTTTTTAGAAACATGAATACCAAGCCGCATCCTGTCACCTACAGTCAATTTTCTGGGCCTACCTGCGCCTCCCTGGTGCTCAATGCCATATCCATTTGCAATAGTTTTCAAAACACCATAAACAGTGGACAAAGGGATGCCTGTTCTACTTGAAATCACTTTAGCTGATCTGATGTCCTTGTCATAACACTCTAAAATCAACTTCCTCTTCTCTAAATCATCCATACTGAGGATCACTGAAAATGTCGTCTGCTAGCACGTAAACAAAGGGGATAACTCTTCACAAACTAATGAAAAAGGATTAACGGAGTTGTCTCTCTTGAATGAAACCAAGTACTTGATAGCTGGTTAAGGTTGTTTATACTAGAAATCCGAATAAACATATTCCTAAAATTCTCAATAATAATTTCTGGTCATACAATATCAACTGCATGTGTTTACAATAAATCTTCTGTGAACAGGTTAAACTCAAGTCTGTTAATATATTGAAGCGACCCTAAAAGCACTGCGTGATATCATCATACAATAAAAATACAGATTGTATATCCGAAACCGGCAAGTACTTTAAATCGTTTATTCACTAGAACAAATCAATGATCACATTGTCCGTTTTGTAAAGTCAGTAATAGTATAACACACAAAACATATTCCAAACGCAACCTATCCCTATCGCTACTGTATTCCCTACAAAATATACAAAATCTCTTGCCTATGTTGTCTCCATATTTAATTTGTTAACACGTTTGGAAGACTCAACCCCTTTCGTCAAAATCCCACTCTGACATATAGAAACAATAATCATATTATTAAATTAGGATAAAATAATACTAGTATACACACGTTTTCATATTCTAGTGTGTGTGTGTTCTCGCGTATCTGTGAATGCTTACTGTTATACGAAATAGGAGTGTACTTTTTTGTGTGTTTTACATTTACAGAGATCTAATTTTCATTCCTAAATACACTTTAGTTTTACAGAGATCTCAACAATATTTTTATTCCTAACTATATGGTAGTTTTACAGAGATCTAAGCAACATTTTCATTCCTAAATATACTTTAGTTTTACAGATATCTAAGCAACATTTTCATTCCTAACTATACTTTAGTTTTACAGAGATCTAAGCAATTTCTTCATTCCTAAATATTAAGAGAACGTATCACACATACGTTATTGCACTGGGGATCTCGTATTCTTTTGACAGGGTTCCAGATTTTTCAACATCAGGAGTACGTACTCCTTATTTTTGCAATATAGGAGTACTGGAAAAACTTAAGAGTACATTTAGAGTACTGAATGGAATTTTGCGAATCGATAATCTTGTGTTTCGTTTCATATATGCACCACAACATTGCTACTCTTGTGTAAACAGGTCAATAAACAATAAAACAATACTTTTCCAGATAAATACGTCTGTAAATGATTCTAAAACAGTGCAGCAATGCAGTGGTGCGTATGTGCTACGTTTTCTAAATTATTTCCCACGGTATCGTGCATATTTTTTATCCGTACATACGCCGATACGGCCTTTATCTGCACCCCTGTTTTGAATAGTTCATGATTAATTTTGGAAGGTCAGTTTCGTCATTTTAGTGAGAGAGTAGGATATTTAGTAATGCTAGAATCGTCTAGACGCCCGAAGACCCTTCCACAGTCATTAGAGCTGAACTGGCACATCTGGTCATTTGGAATTCATCTGTGAACAACATACTGTGTCAGTCGTGTCGTCTGGACCTCAAGTACTGCCATGATGGGCCCATGGATTATTGTTGTCTTGTTGGAAGTTGGAAGTCGTTGGTGTCGGCCCGTGGGAAGTCGTTGGTGTTGCCCCGTTGCAGATGCCGTCCACAAACAGATGATACAGAAAATTGAGGAACATTCAAATGTCTAGCAAGTTCGTTTTGTGCCATTCCAGTTTGCTGTATACTCGCTGTGTACATTTTGCTATCCAGCAAGCCTATTCACTGGGTAAGCGTTTTCCGTCTTGTTCCCATTCTTGCTGATCCGTTTCTTATGTACATGATCATGATTTTTCCCCTTGGATCGGCCAAGTCAGGAGAACTTAAACTGGCCAAATTTAACTTAGGCTTGAGGCATTTCAGTGATCTCATATCATCGAAAAGCATCGAACAGCCAATACCCTTGCATTGACTCACGTGCCTGAACCCGTAATAAAGGAGACATGTGAGACGGCCTCGTCTGTTCCATGTTTGGGTGTGTTGACACATACGTCTCGACAAGACTTCAACAAGAGGAATAACTTCGTCTATTTATCAGCCTACATTTCCTTACTGTTGACCAATATTCCATCAACTCCAGCCTCACCAAATTTTCGAGGTAAAACTCATTTTGCTCTTCCTTCGACTCTTACCGGAAGGAAAAGTTATTTGAGCAAGGTAACAACGTCCACAGCTTGAGTAAAGGTTCAAACGTTTCCTAGTAGGCATGATGATAACATTTTCAACTTTGATGCATCAGTGACCAAACTATTGTCGGTGATAAATCCCTGTCTGAATTTCTACTTATATGTTTAGATGAACAATCGACATGATCTAGTACCCGTGAAGATCTGGGTTAGAACTGATCTTCAGTAACCCATGCTTGTTGTAAGAGGAGACTAACGGGATCGGGTGGTCAGGCTCGCTGACTTGGTTCACACATGTCATCGTATCTCATTTATGTAGAACGATGTTCGTGATGTTGATCACTGGGTTGTCTGGTCCAGGCTCGATTATTTACAGACCGCCGCCATATAGCTGGAATATTGCTGAGTGGGGCGTTAAACAACCACCAACCAACCAACATGCTCTTGAGTGTCTGTCACGGGTGCCATCGGTGGTCCAGGATACGCTGACCTTTTGGCGAATACCCGGTGTCATTAGTATCATTTGTTTGTGATTCATACATGTAACTTCAAGATTCACTCAGCCTTTATAGGTCATTTCTAATGATCCACGGAAAGGGCTTTGTCGCTATGACATATTTTATCTTTATGTCATTTAACTACACAACATAGATTCTTTGCAAACAATCTAATGGCAAGAAACTGAATTTATATATATTAAGAAGAAGAAATTGTTCAAAAACCTGTCAGTTATTACAATTGTCTCCTGTAATTGGATCTCCGCCTGCCTCTATACAGTCCCACCTCTTGACTAGCATTTCGTCCCTGAGATAAAGTTGCCTCATGAAAACGTATATCTACAAATAAGATACATACATTTCAAATGCTAGCCCTGAGACAATATATAGACTTGCACAAATATTCTAGACGTTAGTTAGGCTCCCTTCATAAGTTATGCTTTGGGGTTTGGGAGACTGCATCTGTTGTCATCGGTAGCTCCAGTAACCGAAATATTCCAGCAATATAACGATGCGGGGGACACCAGAAATGGGTTCACACATATTGTACCCCTTTGGGGAATCGAACCCGGATCTTCGCCGTGACGAGCGAACGCTTTAACCACTAGGCTACCAAACCGCCCCGAGAGAAAAAGGGGGGGCAGAATGAGAGAGAAAGAGTAAGAGGGAGAGAGGCGTGGATCCAGATGGTTGTTAGATGTACAGTCATTGCTTTGCTTGTTTCTAACTGTTTATTAATGCAGTTACCCGACCTGTATTTGTGGTAGGAAGGGCCTGATATCGATGTTGCGCACTTTGATAATGTAAGCGTACCAGTCTCGGACAACAATCTACAAACATGTTCAGTTCGGATCTAAGATAGCAAGATATAAAGTCAGTTGAACGTTGTAAACCAATCATCAAAAGACATCCAACAAGAAGTTGAACTTCGTAATACATTATTCTGATAACACACCCCTTCCAGCTCCTTCTCGGGATGTGATCCTCGACAGCTCCTTACAGCGGAGTTAAACAATACAGCGTTATCGCTACTCTATCTGCGGTGTCGAAGCGGACTTTGAGAACTTCTGAACCCTGCTTGAGAGTTGAGCGACACTTACACGAAAGCTTAAGAACCGTCATTTTACACTACCTTCCGCTTCGGGCGTTCTCCTGGATCAATACTCAACCAGAAGAAATGTGCAATATTTTTACATTATTTGGTTTATTGTGCATCTCATCGATTCATATAGGTAAGTATTTTTACAAACGTTTATTGCCTATCTCAAGATAATATCGTGATGTCTGTGAGGTCGAGACCTGCGATATCCACCCCCTACTTCAACGCAGTAGGCACAGATAACCGCCTCCATCGGTCATATACGTGAATTTGTCTACTAAATTTAATATAATTTAAAGTGATTTACTTCGTCACCATGGTCGTTGTAGATTAATCTTTGATATTTCTCAGCATGTTTGCTGGTAAAATCTGTATACTATAGATGCAAGACTCTTGCTTTTGCAGTGTATAATGTTAAAATAAGCCCCCTTTAAATGTTAAAATATAATATCATGAGAATGTGTTTGCGATCGTTATTGATGCTGAAATGAACGCGATTTGCCCACTGACTTCAGTAGTACTGACCTCGATATCGCATATGAACGAACCAAACTAACGACCGAAAAGAAACACTTGGAAAGAAAAATGATACGTGATTTTGTATTCCTCTATGTTTCAGCGTAATCAAAATAATGAACTTGTACCTAACGAAATGTAATTCTGGCATGTTTTATATAATGTCACAAAAGTATGACATAAATTTCTTACCATTGGCGACATTATGCAGAAAATGTACCCTTGAACCACGTATGAGTAAAGAAAACCAAACGTCTTCTCCACAAAAGAGATTATCAAGTGAACCTTCGTGATCGTAGGATGTTATTCCTCATGGATATTTATTTTAAAACGTCAACACCAGGGGATAACCAGTCTTGATAATCGGATTCGACTGTGCGTGAAAGACAAAACAGCGGCGAAAATAATACGAATGGCTTACTGAAAATCAGTGATAACACCGCATTTTCTCGATAAGTGTGCGCATATCCTATCCGATAACATACCATTCGCATCATTAGAAGCGGTGGGGAACCAGAGTGAGTAAAGCGTTCCCTTGTCATGCGAGAATCCGGGTTCGATTCTCCACATGGGTAGATCGTACAGAGCCCGTGTCTGGTGTCCCTCACCGCAATATTGCTGAGATTTTGCTAAACGCGGCGTAAAACCATATTCACTCACTCGTATCATCAGTTGGAAGCATGCGTTATAATCTCCGTGTTATTAAACGTTATTAGGACGCTCGTGTTTAATTTCAAGGAATAAAGTGTCAGGCGTTTTCATCACGATTATCACTATGGCAAAACAATTACTGGAGAATATATTTAATAAATACAGAAGGTCATCGGCAAGCCTGGCCATTAGGCCACGTCAGTTGAAAGACCACTTACATTTCTTGTAACTTGAGAAGCTGCCACTTTATAGCTGCCACTGCGTAACTATTTAAGTAGGGTCCATACAAATTTCGTCAAGTCAGTTTCCATTGTTTAGCTACATGATCAGCAATACATACTGGTGACCTTGTAGCTATTTTAGAAGTGAAATAAGGCAATGTAGTGGTTTCTAATAATTATTTGTAGAATATCAGCTTAAAATAGTGTGTATAGGAATTTAACAGTGCCATGTGGAGTGTGGTTTTGGAGTGACAGATTACATTTTCTGATCCAAATATGTGTTGTGACACTTTGCATTAACTGCGTACTGGCGTTGGGGAACGATGTGCCCTTAAAGTACCGCTATGACGCACAGCATCGCCATTTCTAAATTAACTGCCCTCACACAACATATGCATTACTGATCACATGCACAAAACACAAAATACTTGGAAAACGAAGGTCACATAACATCTACAGATCCACACTTTACACTCATCATATAATGAGTGAGTACTGTTTTACGGCGCTTTTAGCAAAGCTCCAGCAATACCACGGCGAGGAACACCAGAAACAAGACTCACACATTGTACCCATGTGGGGAGTCGAACCCGCGTCTGTAGTATGATCAAGAATAAAGGAACACTTGTACTTTCAGGTGTTCCCTTATTCGCTTCCATGAGTATAAGTATAGGCACGCTTATACTGATAGCATTGTATGTGTATTTAATAACAGAACTTTGTAAAGTCGAACCCGCGTCTGTAGTATGATAAAGGGAACGTCTTAGGCGCTACTCTCACCACAGCCGCCACCATGTGCAGAGAACACACAAGGCATAGTTCACATAACGGATACACAGAATAAACACATACTACATATACAACAAAAGGTACCAAACGTATGCATAACACAGGAAAACAACACAAATTCCAGATCAACCATAGAATAAGGCATAACCAAAGCACAAAGTACACAACACGTGCACAACACAAAACATACATATCGCATATAGCATAACACAACATACACAACACACTTAGCATCATGTAAAACGTCAGTGCAGAACACAAGTGAAAATGTGTTAAATATTTCCTGTTATTTCAAATCTCTTTTCTTGCTTTATAAACAACTAAACTTATTTTAAATTCCACTTCTTTCATGTGTTAATTTTTCCTTTTATTTCAAATCTCTTTTGTTGCTTTATAAACAACTGAACTTGTTTTTAATTCCACTTCTTTCAGTGTTTTGTTTTACAATGATTTTGTTAATCATTTCTCCAAACTGAGCTATGATATACTGTACTATAGTAGCACCGTTTAAAGGCATGCACATTCCTGGTAACGGCGAATATAGGGCATTCTATACATAGAACATCCGTCAGTGCAGTCGGCGGAAGTGCTGGTACGTGAGGTTCCCTGGACGGCCTGTTGCCTGGTGATCACTACTGGACGCTGTCATACTTCCGGTGATTCAAAGTGCATGCAACATGGCACTACATTCAGAATGTCACCACAAAATCCGTTACCCGTTCAATGAATTATAATAATCATAATAATTGGCAACTTATGTACCGCTGAACTCCACGCCGCACAACTTAGCGCATACAATATGATGGATATTATTACCCCGGATAACCCAAGCTGCCTGTGAGGCGCTAGGAGGTTAAAAGTCATATGAGTTATACCACCGGGTACCCATCTTCTGCTGGGTGCACAGGCAATTTTGAACAAACTTACTTGCATAAGGAATTACTCTATCGGTTCCTTTTAATGATTTAATTGGTTAGACAAATTGTCCTTTGTGTCTTGTACTGATTCAGGTATCACGGTCCATTAATATACTCATGGAAACGAATAAGGGAACACCTGAAAGTACAAGTGTTCCATTATTCTTTCCCAGGTTTCTTCACAAGCTTTGTATTGCAATGTGGGTGAAATTCTGGTAAAGAATAAAGGAACACTTGTACTTTCAGGTGTTCCCTTATTCGCTTCCATGAGTATAAGTATAGGCACGCTTATACTGATAGCATTGTATGTGTATTTAATAACAGAACTTTGTAAAGTCATTAAGAGTATATAAAGGGTCACAATAATAAAAGTTGTAGAATACCTGTACCCGAGACTTAGACCGGTTACCATGGGTATTGTTACATGTATTTTATCAGCATGCTCATGAATGTTACCACAGTAGTAAACATTTGGCACCAGCGTCACTTTGGGCCTTTCCCCCCACATTACGCTGGCACCAGTGTTACAACAATCATGACATCGGTGAAGCTTTCAACGTTTCATGGCAGACATATTGAGGACATTTCAAAATGTGACGCGTCAATGCCAAAACGATGTCTTTCTCCATTTTGACTTGTGCAATATGTTCCGGTGTTCCTTGTCATTGCATTGTGATTGTGACAGGATACGCTCACCTTTTCCCCGAGTACCTGTTACCATCACTATATGTTTGTTTGTTGTTTAACGCCGCACCAAGCACATGGCGGCGGTCTGTAACAGTGTTTGCAATACCTTAATTTGCCAGTTGGCCATCGGGGCCTGCTTCCGCCTGCATGCTTTAAAATCTACGGGCCCTGAATGAAATCTGCAGGCCCATTTTGTTAACGTCAAACCAATAAAAACAAAATAGACTACACTGTACACAGCTTCACAGTGTTTCTTCAAAACCAATTTGCCTACTGCGCACAGAGAAGTTTTTATTTGTTAAAGACTGGTGGTCACATTCCTACACGCAAAGCGCTGAAATACCAGGAAGTGAAACTATAAGTTATCGTATCGTGATGGATCATGAATGATTCCCGAACGTTGATAAAGAAAAGAATTATGGGAAAGATTCCAGTTGAAAAAAAGAAAATTTACTGAAGGCCACAAGGGCCTGCACATATTTGAAACTGCCGGCCCGATACAATAACAACCGGCGCTGGGCCTCTGGGCCAGCGCTTTTTTCGAACGCTGGTCTATAAATAATCGAGTCTGAACCAGGCAATCCAGTGATCAACAACATGAGCGTCGATCAAATGCAATAGGGATACGATGGCGTGTGTGAACCAAGGCAGCGAGCCTGACTACCCAATCCCGTTAGTCGCCTCTTACTTGAGCATGGGTTACTGAAGATCAGTTCTAACCCGGATCTTCATGGTGGTAATTCATAAACACATGGTCGTGAAACTGCTGGAGACGTAACAGTAGAGATCTGTTTTATGATTATGTAAATAGATATTTTATTTACAAGCTACCTTGATGGGCCATTGCTGTTATTAACTAATTGCACGTAAGTCAAGTACATGTGCTTCACTGACCTTACGCTGTAGTGTAATCTTCTGGCGCCAAGACACAAGCATTCATAGACCGGGATATCTCTGTGACGTAACATACATACAACGCATGAATGTACTTAGGTCAAGGCCAAGATCCCACACGGAGGAAGACCTTCGCCACGAGTGGGATAAGTGACTTATCGCCTGCTAGTGGTCATGTGACTGTCAAGGTCACTGTTGATAAATTACCGTCATCATATGATGTTGGTAATGAATGACTGTCATGATAACCAAACTCAAACATTTCAGTGTTTATTAATGACTGAGTGAGTATGATTTTACGCCGCTTTTAGCCATATTCCAGCAACATGACAGCGGGAAAACCATCACTTCTTAATGAATCAGCTAACAGTGAACCTGCGTTCATAGATAACACTTACTTAGATACTTATAACGCCCACACCAATGTAATATGTTGAACTGAGAATCCGACACATGAA